TGTAATCAAATGTACTACTGAAAACTCAATAAAGCATTTGTCCGTCAGTTGGACTTAATAAAAAAAAAAAAAAAAAATATCCACCAATTATATTTTTCAATAGATCATATTATCTAAAAATTGATGTAAACAAAATTTTTTAAAAAATCAAAAAATTTTGGATAACTATAAAAGAAAAAAAATAATGAAGAAACATTTTAAAAATATGACTTAATATTTGTTACTTCTTGCTATATAAAATCTTTATAGACATATTCAATATGAAAGGTTTGGATACTATACTATTGATTTTTCTTTCTTGTAGAACTTTCTTGTTATAGATAGAAAAAATGTTTTTTAACTTTTCTAGATTACAAGAAATCAAGTTTTTATTTGAAAATAAATATAAACAAGAAAGGAATTTGGAAGTATCTCTTAAAATAAAACTTTAAGTTAACTATAAAGTATCAGAAAATCTTTTTAATCTTTGAAGTAAAAGGTTTTTTACAATAAAAAAACTTATTTTTTTTTTTTTTTAACTGTCTTGATTCTTTTAAAACTTTTATTTTCATGATTTTTTAGGAAATTTTATTTATTTCAGTTTGATTCTAAATTTTAAATAATACAAATTTCCATCAAATATGATTGATTGATATAAAATATATTAGTTTTTGGAATATAAAAAAGCTTTTATTGATTATACTCATATGTTCTAATGATATTATTGATAATTGGAAAAAATGTTCTGGAAATGTTTATCTCTAGAAACTCAAGTTCCTTAATAAAGAATCCATAATATCAAAAGATCAAGGGATAGATAATGTAAATTGTAAATTTCTATTTCTTACTTAAGTTTCTTAAGTAGTAATAAAATTTTAATAAAAAAAGCTAAGGTTTAAATACTTTTCTTGATATATTCCAATCTGATGTTTACTTAAATAAAGAATTGTTTGATGTTACAGATGATAAAAAAGAAGATTTCTTTTGAGATTCAAGTAAAGAAAAAAAACCATTTCAATCAGATATATTTTTTTTAAAACAAGATTGATTTTATTTTTGATTTTTTTGATAAACCTTGAATTGTTCCCTTCTCCCAATCACTTTTCTCCTTTTCCTTTGTTAACTTAACAATTTATTGGTTTTTGAATCAATCAATAGTAATAAACTGTTGATAATAATCCTAATAGATAAAGGTTATAATCAATTTATCAGAAAATTGGAATATTGTTCCCAAAATCTAACTTAAAGTACTATATATAAAGATGAGTTAGTCATGTTGTGAAAGCTGTAAACTATTGTAGATTTTGTTTTAATTTCTCAATAAAGACAAGTGAGGGTTAAAAAAATAAAATAAAGTACATGTTAATAAAGCACATGTATAGTATCTACTTGATAGAGGATTAAAAAAAGTCTAATTCGTGCACGCTGATTCAGCCAATCCCAAATTGTCGAAATTCGAGTCCTATAATTAGTACATTCGACCGTTTTCCTCGTTTTCCTTTATCATTAAACGCGTCGTATTTTCATCATGGTATGTGAAATTATATGTTTACAGAATGCCTAAAATACTTTATTGATTTTACTTTGGTTATGGTTAGCTACCACTTTCTCTATTAAATACTGCACAAGGACACCCAATGGTACTTTGCAAAGCGTTACAAAATTCTTTTAAATGAATAGTATAAGACCAATTAAATTTATATTTAATTATTATGTAGCTAGTAGAGTTAAAAAATGGAGAAACGTTTAATGGACATTTGGTAAATTGCGACAATTGGATGAATTTGACTTTACGAGAAGTTATACAAACATCACCAGTAAGTTGCATTAAGAGAATATGGAGCTTCTAACAAAATTTTATTATTAAGTGGATGATTTTTAGGAAGGAAACAGATTTTGGCGGCTACCTGAATGTTACATTAGAGGAAATACCGTACGTTTGTTAATAATATACCGATTTTTATAAGAATTAAAAGGGGTAGTAATAGATAATTTTTTGTTAGATTAAATATCTTCGCGTACCGGACGAGGTAGACTATAGTTTTTTTTTTTTATTTATTAGGTGACGCAAATGTATAAATTTTTTCCGTGACAAAACTTTCTTTTTTTTTTTTTGTTTAGATTATAGAGATGGTGAAGGAAGATGCTATTAGGCAACGACAGGCTTCCGGTAGCGGAAGTCGTGGACGTAAGTTTCATTTTTAATAATGTACTTTACATATGAACATTACAATTTATTGTTTTATTATCTTTTAATCATTAGGTGGGACTCGCGGAAATGCTGGTCGTGGTAAATTTTGCCTGGAAATATTATCTTGTTTTAATATGATGGTTTACTGTTTTTTCTTGGTATTTCTATAGGAAGGGAAGGAAACAATAGGGGACGTAGCGGCGGAGGTGGCCGAGGAGGAAAATTCTAAAAAAGATATTTTATTTACCAGCTTTATTTTCTAAGGCTATTTTCATTTTTTTCTTGAAAAAAAAAAATTTGCATCACCATATTGTAAAGGAACAAACTATGCATATTAAATTTTACAATAGTTGATAAAAAGAAATTAATATTTATGCCATTGATAGAATAGTTGAATTAGGTATTTATTTTATTTTTAAAGTTAACATTATTCGATATAGTTCATTTTCTAACTGTTTCATTTAGATCTCAAATTAGAAGATGCTCACGTTAATAAAAAATTTATGATCTATATATATCATTTTTGGTATGTATTTATGAAGTAAAAATCTCGTACAAATCATTCTTTTTCTTTCACACTTCATCAAAAACTAACTCGGAAAATGGATCATCTGATTCTACCTGTAATATTTTTATACTTTCGCTTTCATTATTTGCATTACCTTTGGTGACGCAATTAACCTTTCTATTTTCTTTTCTTATGGGATCTAATGGAATTATTAGTTTTTTAGCGTGCAACATCATGCGAAAAGTATCTGTGTAATCCATCGATTGTTTTTCATAATGCCAATCACCAACAATCGGATGTCCTAAAAATTGACAGTGTAAACGTAATTGGTGTCTTCGACCCGTGATTGGATGAAGATTAATTAAAGTTACTTTTATGGGACTATGAATGTTTTGAGGTGGATTGAACTGAAGAGGAATAGGGTAGAAGTAGCCTCTTCGTATTACTTCAATTTCTGTTTTGGCTGCCTTTAAAGCAAACGAGATTAACCAAATAAAATAATTTCAGAGATGAATAGTGCTAAAGTAGTTTTACCTTTCCAGGGTTACTTTTTGATCCGATACACATTCGATATCGATTATTAGGAACTTCAGCAATTGGTTGTTCAACTGTATAACTAACAAAAAATTTTCCATAAACATTTAGGAATTTCAAACTAATGATTTTTGACTAAAATTAACATACACATCCTTTTCCATCCATTTTCTGACAATTGCTACGTAATTCTTTGCTACTCTTCTTTGAGCAAATGCAATGCTAGCCACTCCGGCTGCTTCTTTTGTCAATGCTAAACAATAACATCCTGAGGTAGAATGGTCTAGTTGATGAACATTGCGTAATGGTTTTGGTAAATTGGGTTCTTGATTGTACAGAATTGATAATACTGAATTAAAGATAATAAGATTTAGAATCATTCAAATTATGCACATGAAAGAAACGAAGATTGGTTACCTGTATGACCCTTGGAAATATCACCATCTATCCTAACATCATATCTGTGTTTTCACAATACGGAAGAATTAATAGAAATAAAGGAAATAAAGATTTTTTTAGATTTTTTTACGCACGGCTTATCGACTACCAGAAATTCTTTATTACGAAATAAGATTTTAATTGTTGGCACAATAGAACCGGATTCCAATTTATCATTGAATCGTTGCGTTTGTTCCCGGGACTTGGCAAGTTCATTTTGATCTGTATTCTCCATTATTGAGTTATCCGATTACAATTATTTTTATCATATGGATTTATTGTATGTATAATATAAAATTTTTAATTTTTAAAATTATTCTCTTTATTAAACAACAATATAATATATATTATTACATAATATTAAACTCAAATTTACAATTAATTTATTTATATTTTCAAACTTTAAGTTTAATTTTAATTTTTGACTATAGTAAAACTTTAAAAATATATATATGATTTTTAAAAATAGAAAATAATATGTTTTAAATAATATTATATATAAATTTTATAAATTTAAGAATTGCTGAAATAAAAGTTTATAATAAAATTATAATAAGTAACTTTAAATATTGTAAGACATTATTATTTTTTTTTATTTATAATCATATTATTATAATATATTATTGATAAAATATTATGTAAATGTTTAATAGACTTTCATATAATAATTTACTTATTATTTTATATTAAAATTAATTTTTAATTTAAAAACTTTTTTATTAATCTTTCAACTATTTACAAAAAAGATGCTTATCAAAAGTTTTTGAATTTCTTAATTAATAAAATTTTATTATTCTTTTTAAAAAAAATTGAAAAGTTTCAATAAAAATCAATTAATACTTTTTTTTTTTTTTTGATATAAAATATATTTATTTTATTGAATTTGATATAATATATTTTACTTTAATAAACAAAAATTTAGATTTATATATTAGTTTTTATATATATTTATTTATATATTACTTATAACAAAATCAATTGTAAAGCTATTATCTTTTATTTTTATAATAAGTTATTCTTTGAAATAATTAATATATTTAGATACTATTGGTATATTTAAAAAAAATAATATTAATATTTAGTTTGCTTATAAGAATTCTTATTATAATATTATAATCCTTTATAATATAGTTTTGTTTTATTTTGATTTATTTTTTTTTTATTTTTTAATCTGTAGTCAAGTCAACATGACTTGTCTTTATTGTATATATATCATATATTTATAAATTATTTTAATTTTCACATACTAACTTACTCGTCATCGAAAAACTATTTCTCTAGATGTAACTTAGGGAATGATATTTTGTTTCTTTATTGACTTGAATAAATTTTCTAGTTAATAAAATTATTTCCTACAAGTCATTACTGTAAATCATTTTAAATTCCGACTACAATTAAAAACCAAACTATTTCCTTCCATAACAAATTCAATTCTTGATGATTTCTATATATTTCATTTCCTACTTTCTTTCAGAAACTTCTTGTTTCAGATCTTCTGCAAGTGTGGGTTCTTCTTTCTGTTCTTATATGACCTGTATAATGGATCAGTGCCCATGTTTTTTGATTCGTTTATCCTTTTTAGTAATATTCTGCTTCTTTTTCCACTCTATAACTTTTTTGCAATGACTATTCCATATATCTTTTTTGAAATTTTTCTTTATTTTATAACAAAGCTTACCGATTATGCTTTGTGTGACTGTCGGAGGAATCTTGAGTTGAGCTTTGAGATAATTCTTCAAGGAAGTAGTTTTGTTCTCTTCTATGTATTCACAAATAGTGTTGAAAAGGTTTCTATCAGATCACTGAATCCCATTCAACTATTTATTTGTTCAGTTAATGATTGCAAGGTGAACTTATTCTTTGTTTTTGATTTCTTTACTGATATATCAGTTGATCTTTTCCTTTGCTTTTCTCTATATATCCTCTCTGATTT